CTTCCTTGCCCCAAGGACGGCTTTTTAAGCCGTCTGCCGAGGCCCTTATTTTATTTAATAAGGATTCAGTGTTACCCAAAGAAAGGTGAGAGGCTAAAGGGTCCCAATCAATATGTCAGCATGTTGGGGAAATTAGCTTTTGCAAGAGGGTAACCTTTAGGATTGTTTGCACCTGTATATACCAGTAATAACTGAGGAGAACTCCTGGTTTTGGGGTGATTTAAGAGAGCTTGATTTAGAAAAATGCAGAGTGCAATCACACAAACAATAGCAATTCACACAGACACAGCATTCAGAACTAATCAAAATATAATAATAATAATAATACTTTTTATTTATATACCGCCCTGTGGCGAGCCAATCCGGGCGGTGTACATCGATAAAACATACAGCTTAAAAACAGAACAATTCCCTCCTCCCCCCTTAAAACATTATTAAATCAGAGTCAATATAAAACAATTCCTACTAGGTAAAACAACATAAATCTAAAAATGGAAACGAAGCGTCATCATGGAAATATGGAAATGAGATAGCAGAGTTTGAGGGGTTTGCGGTGTGTGTGTGTGTGTGTGTGAGAGAGAGAGAGAGAGAGAGAGAGAGATAATTACCTGTCTGATGAGTAGACCCTGGAGTGGCTCAGGCTGTAGGTCTAAGGGTGGCACAGTTGCATACAAGGAGCACAACCTGGGACAACTGTATGAACACTGTGAGTGTGTAGAGACTAGGCACTTGGGACCAATATTTATACCTGAAGTCTAGCCCCAAATAGTGGGCTATCTTGTAAGGTAACAAAGGTTGAATGTCCTTTTTCAGGAATCACCAATGAGATTCTCGATTGGCTGATAGCTTTATCTTTAATGGGACAAAAACAGTGATTGGATCAGGACATCACCAAGATGGAGGGACAGGGAAGTTTGGCTGGGAACACAACAGGGAGTAGGCAGGGAAGTTGGCTTACTGCTTTGGGTGCAAGAGGAAATGCAGATGATTTGGGGGAAAGAAGCAATTAGAAGCTTTGATTGTATTATTACCTGGATCATTCACATGCTTCTCACTCCTTTTTTCCTGAGAAGCCGACAGTGTTCCTAAAGGTCATTGTGACCTCTCAAGAACATTTTGGCTTCAAGTAGAAAATATGAAATATGAGGACTCCAATTACAGCACTGGGTATGCAGAGTGTGCAAACACCAGCCACAAAAATAGAATTAAACATTTATGTCCTACAGCACACTGTTTGCACCTTCAGTGGAAAAAGGGATGGCCAGTCCTTCTTATTTTCAGGTGAAAATGAAATCTTGACCAAGATTTGAGATTAAAATTCAACACTAGGGGTTATCTTGGTTCCATTATTCACATAAAAGGCTCAGGTGACTCATGTGAAACAGACTGTCTTTCACCAGCTTGTGCTGGTATCCCTGTGATGACCCTATCAGAAGATGGATTACTTGGCTGCAGTGATCTATGTTCAGGTAATCTCATATTTGGGTTACTGCAATGCATTGTATATGGGGCTGCCTTTGAATAATAATAATAATAATAATTTTTATTTATAACCCGCCTCTCTGCGTGGCAATCGGGGCGGGGAACAACAGATTTAAAATAAGCAAAGTTAAAAACAATCCCTCATCCCATAATCCCACCCTCCCATC